GGGAGGGGGGGGGGTGAAGACAACTCTAGACATCAAGGCTTGCGGTGAAGTTTCTGGACCCTATCTGGCTCTGTCATTCATGCATGCCTTGACCCCCACGTGTTCCACAGGATCATAGCTGATCTGTTCTGAGTCTTCTGACAGTTCTGAAATTGTCAGGCCTGCAATCTGTCATTGGCGTATAAAACTATCGCCAAAAGGATGGATGGAGTCATTAAAACTCCAAAGGTCTCCCCGGTCATTTGGTGTGGGAGTCTGCTCTTTCTGCCATCGCCAGAAATCAGCCACATTTTCGCATTCCACAAGGCTTAGGATGTGTTGACAATGTGTTGGAGGTCTTGCAACCACAGTTCTTCCTGAGCATACCTCAGAGAAAGGTGGACCTTTATGAAGTCTGTGATAGGTCACTTGGGCTCTTGGAACTGCTGGATGAAAACCCATCCGGAGAAGTCCACCGCGTCTTTTTTTTTCTTTTTTTTCCCAGCGTGTCGTATCTTGGGCAGCAAGCAGCTAGTACCGAATAGCAGGGAGCTTAAACAAGCTCGTTTGAAAACCATCCAGAAGCAGAAAAACAAAAAAAAAAAGAAAACAAAAAAAAAGAAGAAGAAGAAGAAGAAAGAAATCCGTAAGCAGTTGCAGTTGCAGTTGTGACGATAGGTAGGTAGTGTGAGGAAAAATTGAGAGAAGAGTATAGTTTTTGAAAAAAAGAATTTTTCCTTCTCGCAATTTCCCAGTCAAGATCCACTTCTTTTTTTTTTTGCACAGGCCAGCGGCCTAGTATCTTCTTCCCACGAATACAGGGTACGGTCATTATAGCTGAATTTGGCATATCTTTGAATCTAGATAGTACAGCTATAATGACTGTACATTGTAATAGGGGGAAGAAGTTAGCTCAGTTGGCTGACCACGTAAGTGGTATTCAGGAGGCCGTGGGTTCAATTGCCCGTTTTGTTCTTTCGACCCCCCTGTGGTGCACTACTTGTTCACCAGCGGAGAGGAGATAGCCTGCTCGGGACCCCCCTGGGTACCGCTCCACGCACAGATTAGAGCATAGTTCCTGTGGAAAGGTATAGATACTATAAATAGATAGGTAGTGGGACACATAATAAGAGAAATCTTTTTTTTCTTTTAACAAAAGAATAAAACAATAAAACAAATCCACACACTTCAGGCAGGATCAAAGCGGACAGTAGTCTGGTGTGACAGGCCCGGGAAAGTATAACGCCAAGCTTTCCCGAACTGCCAACGGCGCACTTTCTTTCTTTTCTTTTTTTTTTTTTGCCTGGCGCCGCAAGCCATTGTGGTCCGCCTCCAGGCAGAGCCTCCAAAATTTTCGTTCAGGACGAGTTGCATTTTCAGCCAGGCTGGGCCTGTGTACTGGCGGTTTGCCTTTTCTTTTTTTTTGTTTTTCTTTTTTTTTTTAAGCCCAGGGTGTTGTAGAGGCCAAGGACCAGACCCGCAGTGATTGCTGGTAGCGGCAGCCAATGGTTGTCCTTTCCTACGATCTGTCCCGTACCCTCTGGGATCCTCGGACAGATCCTTCGATGGAACTCCAATCTTAAAATCGCAGACCGGAGGCCAAGTCCCACTTCACCGAATCCTCAATTTCTGATCTTAGATTCCAAAGGTCAACGACAGAAATGAAGACTTGATGACCTCGCAGACCGGGGGGCCATGTCCCACTTGTCGAGGTTTAGTTCTGGATTCAAGTATGCAGGGATTTTTTTTTTTTTCTTTTTTTTTTTTGGAAAACCAGTCTTGCTGCTAGGGAGAGTGATACGAGCACCCCCCCCTTGCGGTCATCCTGGATGCTCCAGTCTATGGGTGGGGAGCCGCACCTGCTGGAAACGGGGTCCAGTGTCCCATTTTACATCAAACGTCTGAACCTCCATCGGAATATCCTATTTAAAGAGTGGCAACCTGCCAGCATTGATTACCCTGATTGCCACGCAGGGATCCCTGCCATCCGATCTGCAAATTCCACGGCCACGGTGTGACCACGTTGAAACATACGCGAAACATAAACTAAACCCCCGCTAGTGGGACATGGCCCCGGAAGATGACCTCGCAGTTCTGAGACAGATCGATCGGGGCTGCGGATATTTTTGTCAAGGGCGAATCCAGGCAATTACTGCCAGATCTTTGACATCCCAGCACATCATTTCCCTGTCACTCTCTCGTCTCCTGGATTCTTCTTCTTCTTCTTCTTCTTCTTCTTCTTCTTCTTCTTCTTCTTCTTCTTCTTCTTCTTCTTCGTCTTCTTCTTCTTTTTCTTTTTTCTTTTTTTTCTCCTGGATTCTTTTAATAATTTGGACCATTTCTCGATTTTATGTGTGTCATCCGTGCGCATAGGCCATGCTAATCTTCTCTTTCTCTCTATCGTTCCAATTTTAACAGATGTCCCAAAGGACTTGCTTCTCCTGGATTCTAATCTCCACAGTCTGTCAAGGTTGTGCACGGTTGCGCCCTTGACCCAAGCTGTCAAGGCTCTCTGCAACCGGCAGCAGCGCTGCATAAAGCACTGTAGTACTATGCCAATCCTGTGGTATGGTTGTCATGATGCGACTCATGCCAAACCTCCCTCAATCTGAGTGGCGTATGAGTAGAAGGATTGAGCTTTTTTAACTTCTTTTCCTCGTCGATGAGAAGATGAGCTGATAGCGCCACGACTGTAAAACTCGTGTCATCTTCTTCTTCTTCTTCTTCTTCTTCTTCTTCTTCTTTTCTTTTCTTTTTTATTTTGAAACAACGGCGGACGCGGCATGTTTTGAGTTCCTAAAGGCACCAAAAACA